GTCCCATATGACTCTGTTGAGTTCCTTTCGTGAATAATGAATATTCTTGATGTCAAGCTCAAACGAACCCAATGTGATATGTAGCCAAAGTGAGAATCCTAACGAACCAAATGAGATATGTAGCCAAAGTGAGAAACCCCCCAAAGAAGAACTTCAACCTACCTTGACCAAATCGATCACGTGAGAACTACGAATATGATTTTCAAATTTTAATGGAAAAAGACATCAGTCTCCAATGTTCATTACCCACAAATCTATGCAGTATGCTGCATCAATTTTTCAGCACAAGGTTAGAAAGTTGAGAATCGAGATTTTTTGTCTTGTCAGTCTTTCTCGCCAAAGACTGACAAGAGACTCGCAAGAAAAAAAATGAATGGCACATTTTTAACTGCGTAAGGACGGACTAACATGACAGTGCTTGTTATTGCATAAGATCACACCCAGTCCGAAATTCCAACAAGTTTGAGCAGCAAGCTACAGATAGGCAATGAAAACGATGATTTGAAACAATCAAGACACACAAAACAACAAACCACACAAAACAACAAACAACAAACGTAACACACAGTTTGGGGGACTTTTTGGTTCTGGAGCGTGACAATCACAAACGTTTAAAGACAGATATTAAAAAAGAGATCATGAAGATTGAGGATGAGGTTTCAAGGATTGGTTATACACAGGAACAGCCTTGTAAAGGTCATCAGCTTGAGCAAAGGGGATCCCCATACTTCGAAAGTTTTCAAATGAGTAAGTCTTGCGGTCTAACAGTCTAATAAAATTATCAATCCCTTGGTCAGCTAAGATATTGCGAGTCTTCATCATATCCGGCTTAATCCCCGCATAGATGAGGAAGTTTTCGAATAGAGGCACTTCAGGTGGCGGGGATAATCGAAGTGACTCAGTCGGCATGATTGGAGCAGGCGCCAGCAATGGAGGGGCAGGTTGAGACGGGGGAAAACCAGCTGGAGGGAAAGGTGCACCATAGTAGTTATGGTGCACCACGGTTCCTGAACTGGCAGTAGGCTCGACTGGGACCGCGGGAGCTGTACCATTGAGACGGTGCTTCTCCTTCTCGTAGTTGGCCACAGGAATCCATCGGAAATCCGGCCGTTTGGACGGAGGGTTAACTTCATCGACCCCAGCTACCCCTTCAGCCTGCAATAAGAAGATCGTTCAATGAGCCAAATGAGTGTCAAAGGAAAGAAGAATCCTTTGACACTTACCCAATCGTTAGCCCAGGTGCGTATGCGCGGAATGTTGAGCACAACACATTGACTCGGGTCCTTGGGATTCAAAGCAAAGGTGACATTCTCGCCCGCGGTGAAGTCTTTTGAAAAACGGGCCCACAGCTTGCAATATTGACGCTCGCCAGGGGTCAAGATCGCGGACTAATGAAATAAGGAAAAAGAAGCGAGGGAAAAGTCAGCTGAGGTACTTTCTGAGGGTAGAGGCCTTTTTAATAAAAATGACTGACACCTGCCGAGTCATCTGATTCAGGGTGAGGTTCAGAATCAGAAGAGGGTGGCTTAGGGGCGTTGATTTTGCGCGCAATCTCTAAATTCCGTTGGACGTTTGATGTAAGCTTAGGGTTTTCAAAATCTTGAACCCCATGACCGTGGTGGCAGGTACCGACTGAGTAATTGCCATGAACTCTTGAAAAGTATCATTATCATCAATGCCAATCTTGGTGGCCTTGTGGTGACGAGAGCCGTGAATGAACCCCTGAATTTCGATCGTGTTGGCATACCAGGCTTTCCGAAGGGATTCAGACACCCCATCAAGTCGTTTATTGCAGCTTCTGAAAAGGCCCGAGCGGAATGAGGCAAAGTGAAGATTGGGCTCCCCGATGACGAACTTGTGGGGGACCTTGGGGTTGTAGTTTTCGAACTTGGGAACTGGTGTCTTGCGAGGTGCTAGAACTTTCTTGTGTTTCTTACCGTTAGAAGTAGAAGGCACGGGTTCTTCGAGAACGACTGGTTGCCAGAGGTTGAAGGAGACTTGGTAGGTACGCTGAACATCGGCAGTGTCGGATACGTCAGGTTGCAAGTTAACAGGGAATTTGGGTGTTGGTTTTGGGTCATCCAAGATATCAAGAGGTAGATCTAAAAAGCGAGAATGTCAGTTTCACATTCATGATGGTCAAGCAAAAATAGATATATATACTGACCATCTTCTGAATCGTTGGGGTTGTTAATGTGCAGATGTAGATCTATAAAGCATGAATGTCAATGTCAGTTTGGCATTCATGCGGGTCAAGGGGAAAACAGACAGGATCACTCACCATAATCTTTGTCTGGATGGTCGATTTCTTGAGCTAGATCTACCCAGGATGAGATGAATGTCAGTATCAAACTCATGCGCGTAAAGGAAATAGAGAGATGTTGACTCACCATCTTTGTCCTCGTGGGCAGAGTCGAGGTCAAGAAAGGTGGCTGGCCTCTTCTTTGAGGAACTTGACTCAGGGAAGCGTTTGGAAGCAGCAGGCAAGGATGAGCAGTGAGTTGAAGGAGAAGGAGCCGGGGTTGTTTGTGAAGAGTGGGATGAGTCGCAGAACAAAGGATTGAGATGCGGGTTCAAAGAGGATACCGAAGACGCTTGAGAGCCAGGAAGAGGGGGGACCGCCTTTCTACCGTTGTGAATACCATTCATCGAGGGGGTTATCATATGTTTCGGGTTATTAGACCGTTTAGAAGGCTCCTTGCAGGGTGACGCTATCGGTGAAGAGACCCCAATGAGCGATGGAGCCGTTACGGGGGGGGATGAACGAACTAGCAGCAATGGGGAATATATTGGATCTGGCGATCAAACCCCAAAGAAAGAAAATCAGTGTATAACTCTTTTTCAATGATCAAGAACAAAGGACTTACTGAGGTCTGATAATATTCTGTCCCATAAGTGCTTGTGAATAAGTGCGGTTCCGAAGAACACGGGAGACAACATCAATCCTGCCTGCGGCCGACCTAAAGGATTGACAATGATAGGAATTGTCAGTGGATCATTTCAATGGATAGAACGAAAATAAAATGAAACATAAAATGATATCAAAAAGATGAGATGAAGAACGGATCGGAGGTAAAAAAACTAACGAAGGTACGTTGGAAGTCTTGCTATTAACCATACTGAAAGTGATAAATGAGGACGTTGAGTATTTGTTGACAAAGGTGGAATATCTGTTGACAATAATGTGTGTCTTGAGGGGCAAAACGGTCAGGGAGGCCGTCTTTTTATGGGATGAGGGGGGCCGGTATGAATTGGTCATCTTGTGGTTTGAGTGAATGTCCGTTGTTGGTGATTGAATGGGCGACCAAACATCAACCAAACATTGGAAGGCCATCCGGCTTTCGAATGTTTGGGTTGAGGTGTTGATCTGTGAGCTTGGGTCGATATGGTGGTGGAGATGATATTGGTGGAGATGATTTGGTGGAGGATATCGATGGTGGTGGATATGGTTAGTGCGGTATGGATAGATCAATCCGGTGGGTCACTGAATGGATGTTGCAAACAACCCCGAAAAAGCATCAGGGCCAGTCAAAGAGGACATCCGATGCTGCCGGATATACAAGTCCACACCCTGTTACAGCTGTGCTGCGCTGCGCACTGCCTGTATTGGCCGGTGGCGCTGGGGGGAAAAAGACCAGGAATTGGTGCGACCATGACACCAATTCCTGGAATAGCTGTACCATGACGACTGGTCACTGAAGCAGCGTATTGAGAATTGAAATTGAGATGGTTGGGAAATGCTGAGGTGTCACATGCATGAAGGCTTGAAGAGATTAAGGGTACTCAAAGCAAAGTATGTAGCGCTACATACTTTTCGCTACATACTTTTTTTGGCGGGGACAAAGAAAAAAAATATACTTTTGGCCTCGCCTTCCCCGCCAAAAAAAGTATATAGCAAAAAGTATGTACACGTACATACTTACTTTGAGTACCCTTATTAGTGAACGGTTGAGTTTTAAAACCACCAATCGTAAGCCGACTCAATAGGACTCAACTCGACCGATTAAAAGACACTTCAGTCACCATTACCAATTCAACCAATCAGCATTCACCAAAACTAGAACTAAGCATTCATCCATCTTATTCGAAAACCATCAGCACCATCAAGTTATCATCAATCGATCTGTTCAACTGCTTTCCATTCAAAACTAATCAAACCAATCTCAAAAACCATCAATTCCTAATAACATCATCTCTTCACAAAACCTTCAATCGGAACACAAGCAAACCAACACTCCTCTTACTGCGACATCATGCTTCACGCTTTTCCTCCTCAGCAGCAACAACCATCACAAACTACAACTCAAGCTCAACAACAGCAACAACAATCTCAACAACAATCTCAATCTTACTTTCGACCTACTACTCCATCTAATCTAACCAATCAAACTAACTCAAACCCTCGTCTATACAATCCAGTTCCAAATCAACAAAACGTCAATAACTTACATCTCAGCTCATTAATCAGTCCAAACTTAAACACAACAGGACATCAACAACGAAACTTACTATTAGGAGCACTTAATAGTCCATTACCACCACTTTCGGCTAATCGAGATACATATGGAATGATCAATCATTCATCTAACAATAATGGTCCTACTACTACATCCACATCTAATCAGAATGGTAATAATAACTTATTTATCAATCCTCCTCTTTCTAATCTCAACGGTACAGTCAGACCACCTTCAAGACATTCACCTAATCATTTGATTAATCCTTATTTAATTTCATCATCTTCTTCTTCAGGACTTCATCATCGAATCGATACACCTTCTTTACTAGCTAACTCTTTAAACACGCCTAATTCTGCTGGTATTCCTGGCTTGAACACTTCTAGTTCTAATCTTAACAATCATCATAATAATGGAAATCAATCCGGTGGTGGTGGTGGTAAATTACTTTTGGCTCAATTACCTCAAACTCAACAAGGGTTTAATTCTAATTCGGGAACGACTACTGCTAATACTACTACTACTAGTACAATCGATCAAGCTGAAAATGAAAAGATTTATTATTTAATTGTGGATCTTTTGAACCCTGTGAGTCGTGAATTAGCTCTTCTAGAGTTAAGTAAGAAACGAGAACAATGGGATGATCTAGCACTTGTACTTTGGCACTCGTTTGGTTTGTCTCTTTTTCCATATATCGTATAGTTTATCTATCTTGAATGAAAAACAAAAACTGATTTTTTCATCTTACACAGGTGTCATGTCTTGTTTACTTCAAGAAATCGTGACGGTTTATCCACTTTTATCACCTCCATCTTTAACAGCCAACGCATCCAATCGAGTCTGTAACGCATTAGCCTTATTACAATGTGTTGCATCACATAATGAGACCCGAGGATTATTCTTACAAGCACATTTACCATTATTTCTTTATCCGTTCTTAAACACGACCTCTAAGACCCGACCGTTTGAATACCTAAGATTAACATCCTTAGGTGTCATTGGAGCCTTGGTTAAACAAAACGATAATTCAGATGTGATCAATTTCTTATTATCAACTGAAATCATTCCATTATGTTTAAGAATCATGGAAACTGGATCTGAATTATCTAAGACGGTGGCGATCTTTATTGTACAGAAAATCTTACTTGATGAAATGGGTTTGGCTTATATCTGTCAAACCTATGAAAGGTTTTATGCTGTGGGAACTGTTTTGAGTAATATGGTGAATCAATTGGTCGAAAGTCAAGCGGTTAGATTACTTAAACATGTGGTTAGATGTTATTTAAGATTAAGTGATAATCTAAGGTACGGTTTTCCTTTCACCTTTATCTTTCAAATCTGATCTCATCCTTTTCTTTTGCTTATCTTCATGCGTTTGTGTATAAGTTTGTAGGGCTAGAGAAGCTCTTAGAGCTTGTTTACCTGAACCACTTAGAGATGCAACATTTTCTCAAGTCTTAAAAGGTGATTTAGTTACCAAAAGATGTTTAGCTAGTTTACTT